CATCATTACGTCATTTTCAACAAGGAACCGAATCTTCTCGCTGGACATAGATTTTTCGAATATGCATTCTTAAAATTAAATCCATTTTTTTTCAATTCTTTGCCAGCGAATCCTGAAAAGAAGTAGGATAAGATTGTCAGAAATGGATCATATTTAGGGTAAACCAAACTCTTCTTTCACTATAATATGATAAGAGTTTTCAATAGATATAATTTGTGATTGAATTAAATTGTGTCAAATTCAAGTATTACTTTATAATTTTTTTTTCTTTCTTTTTTCTCATCATTTAGACGATTTGCTCAAAATTGAATAACATAATTTTGTGTCCTGATGCTTCCATTAATTGAAATTTATATTAGTTGAGTCGAAATAACTAGATATTACTTGAAAAAAATAATTCTTAAATATTGTCAAATGACTCGAACTGATGAACTTAAGTGTTGAAAAATAGGGAGCCAACATACATATATTTATTGTACGTTTTTGGATAACAGCTAATGAGAAAAAGTAGAAATTTTCAGGACAGGCAGATTCTGATGAGTACAGCAACAGTTGTTATAGATTCAAAATCTTGCATGCCGTCTTCTATGAAATATTGGGATCAGAATGGCAAAAAATGGGCTTAATTTTCATCGCTGTTTCTCCAGGATGCTATGTTCGATGGAGCTAAAAATTTTTTTACAGGTGCTAGACGCTGTTTGGGATAGACAGTTTTTTTAATTTTTTGTTCTTCAAATAAAAAACCCAAAATATCAAAGGTATCCTAAAAAACACATGTTTTTTTTTTGAATAGAGCTTTTTTTTGTAAGGCCTACCAAAAATCAGCAGAACAATGTTTTTCTAAAACAAAAAAAACAATATCCACTCCAAACAGTGTCTATTATCGGCGTCAGAATTAAATGTGGGTTGGTGTAAGATGAATAGCTCGAGAACGGCAATAGCTAGCAATCTGCGGTTTTCACCAATCCAAAAAGACTGAGTTAGGACATGTTTTGATATAATACTGTGCAAGGTGAAATCCTAATCTAACAAATCTTTTTTGAGCATCTTTCCAAAAAATATATAATAATGCAATGTAATTCTAATGAAATTTTCATTATGACATGTGTATTAGATAGAGGGATTTCAGATCTATAGTTCAAGGTATAATGCGAATGGTTATTTTCTCATGGTCTAATGATGAGCCAATGAATTCGGCCGTTTAATTGCCAAAATCATAGAGAATTGCGTTGATTTTTAACCAAATTGTCTTACTTTTTGTCAAATTTTCATCGAAACAAGATGCCATTTTGGTAAATTCCCTATGATTTTGGCAATGAAATGGTCGAATTCATTGGCTCATCGTTAGACCATGAGAAAATAACCATTCGCATTATACCTTGAACTGTAAAGCTGAAGTTCCTCTATCTAATACACATGTCAGAATGAAAATTTCATTAGAATTACATCGCATTATTATATTTTTTTTTGGAAAGATTCTCAAAAAAGATTTGTTAGGTTAGGGTTTCACCCTGCACAATATTATATCAAAACACGTCCTAACTCAGTCTCTTTGGATTGGTGCAAATCGCAGATTGCTAGCTATTGTCGTTCTAGAGTTATGGTATTGAAAAATGTGAAGAACGACGAGTTACATCATCGGATGAAATTTATCTTATTTGCAGAAAATAAATATTGTCGATTAGAACCATGTGAAACTATTGAACCAATACTTATTCAGAGTCCATTTGGTTACAGATCACAATATGTTTGATATGCACCATCAATTAAAAAAAGCTATTTTGAGTTGTGGGTGTGAGTATTCCTTCCACTCACACCTTCATTCTGTTTAATTAAGACAAAGTAAGATTATCAAAAATCAGATGACGATTTTGTAGATTGTAGTATGTCTTATATATTTTCTCTTTCGATTTTCTTGTGACAGTGATCATAAAAAAATAGTCGTAAAAAATAGATGGTCTTGATTCTTAAAGAAATGGAACAATAGATTGAAAGAATTTTCAGAATGTTTTGGATAACAATAGGTAAATACTGATGATTAATGGTATCAAGGACACAACAGCATAATACCACACACAAAAAAAACATCAACGACGAACATACATTTACCGAGTCAAACAAATAAAACGTATTTCCAACAGAACTGCCAAACACACCTAAAAAAAATGAACTGACACATATCATTTTGTAAAACCGTTAACAGAACTATTACAAATCTCATGCGAAACAAAGGGTGTAACTGATAACTAAATACCAACATGTGAGACACAAAATATTAAGTACAAAAATACAAAAAAAAATTGTTGTCACTTGATCATTTGAAAGATCTTCAGTGAGGACTATGAATAGTGACTTTGCCAGACAATGCATCGCATTGTAAAAAACAGAATTTACAGTTATTCAAGTTTTTTAAAGCATATATTTGCAGACACATGTTTAGTATGGTAACAAGATTAAAATTTTGCAAACTATCTCCAGGAGCAAAATATATACATTCGAATGAGAAAAGAAAATGAGGACATTCACATCCACACCCTCAAGATATTTCGAATTGTGTGTCAAAGATTTAATTATAATTTTCTTATGATGTTAGAAAATCCCATTTGTATCTATTGAATTGTTTATATAACTCAATTGAATATTACTAAATGTTTTTATTTTTTTTTTCGTGTTTTCATGCATTTTTGTTTAGTTTTAAACTTTTTCGTATTTAGTAATATTTTCAAGATGAGTAATCTTAAGAAGCTAATTTAATCATATACCAATGAGTAAATTGAATGTTCCTGTGAGTGTTAGTGATATTGACATAAGTTGCGAATATCTTAAGATCAGAGATACAAAATCTATTCGTAGGCTGCAGCAATTGTGTTATGAAAACGGACTTTTTGGTGAAACTCTGAGTAATGTCTATAAAATCCTTATATTCGATAGAAAGCGCCAGTCTATCGAATCTCCTTTTTGAGCGCACTGTGCACGGTCATCGTTGCTCTAAGAACTGATTCATTGTCGCATTTGTTCGTCTTTAGTTAAATATAGGTAGATGAATGATTAGTCCCCGTTTGTCAAACAAACCCATAGCAATTCAATGAATTGAACGGTTTCGAATGAAAGTTATCCCAAATAGTAGAACTCGATGAGCTAATTCTCGTGGTATAATTCGCTTTCCCCGATAGAACTTCAAATTCAAAAAACTGATCGATTTTGCTAGTGAATTTCTACGTTTTCCATAAGTTTTGAGACAGTTGTAAGAAATTTAGAACTTCAAAGGTACTTCATTTTTAGATGATCTATTTTTATATTATTTCATAGAATCGAAGAATGGTATTTTTTTGTACAACTTATTTTCATCGTTGCTATGAATTCTAGTTGTTGAATTATTACATTTGGAAGTATTTGAGTGCTCCTGAGAAAAAAATGTTATTATGTGTTCAGAAGATGAAGCTGAATCTACTCTTAAAACAATATAAAATTAGATCATTGCATGCGTCATTCTGTATCTATACCATGATCATCTAAAAATTAAGTACCTTTGAAGTTTTAAATTTCTAACAACTGTCTCGAAACTTATGGAAAACGTAGAAATTCACTAGCAAAATTGATCAGTTTTTCGCATTTGAAGTTCTATCGGGAAAAACGAACCATATCACGAGAATCAGCTCATCGAGCTGTACTATCTGGCATAATTTTCATTCGAAACCATGATTCACACTAGGGAACCTTCCCTCGTGAGTTTGATATTTGTTTCATGAATTGAATTATACATGTGATTTAATTTAGCTCTCTGTAAATCTTCTGTTGATACACTTGTCGCCTTGATCACTAGTGTATCATTGTGTGCTTGTAAAACTCCGAAGAATTCATGTTGTACCAATTAATTCAATGTACATGACTGTTCAGTGAGTTGCTTGTTCACTATCATTCTAAAAATGCCGTTGTTCATCGAGACGTATAAGTCCGTTGTGATTCATCACTCGACTTTTTCATCAAAGGACATCGTTTAGTATAGGATTTGAGTGTAGATTGAACTGAGTGTTACACGAATCGTTACAGATGAAAAATTGCGAAAGGCTCACATGTACACACACGTGATCTGTAAGTAAACAATGTGGAAGGAAATGCGTACTATCCTAACGATAAAACGATATTCAAGAATGACTCAAACATTTAAACAGTAGGAATAAATACTTAAGTGTAACCCCTTGCTTTTGCTATGTACATGAGAGACAGAGAGAAAGGTATGAGTATCGAATGACAGAGTCAAGAGAGTATAGAAGAAAAAAGAATGCAAACAAACGTGATCGTGGAGAGTATATTACACGATAAATGACGACGAAAAACGTGTATTCAATGAGTGCGACATAGTCACATGTGTAAATTCTCTACCGTTCAAAACAAGTAGTTTTACATGTAGATGTATTTAGTCGTATCTTAAATTGGTTATCAAATCATGATTTATATGTTTGAGTAGCATTTATTAATGGGGAAGATATCAGATACTACGCTGAATTTTCAGAGATATCATAGTATTTGACAGCCGTTTTTTTCATTTATTTTGAAATCATCTCTTTGTCGATTTTCTTTTACCATACTAATTCATCTTCTGCGTTATACTTTACTCTTAATTTTTCTTTCTTTAAAGATGCCAATTCTGTTTTTTTTTTCTTTCTGTTATTCTTTCTTTCTCTTTCCTTTCTTCTTTTCTTTTTCTTTCTTTTTTTTTGCTGATGTTATATATATATATATATATATATCACCCTAACAAACACATTTATTGTAAGCTAGCTGTTCCTTGAGGGTCATTAAGGTCAAAAGGTAGAACATAATAAATAAAGAAGTAATTGTACAAATTGGCAAGTAGCTTGAATAATTTGTTTATATTTTTATCTATATTTGAAATAAAGTTAACTATACTTGAAAATCTTGTTGGTATTGATTAAATGTTCTTTTCTATTAAAAAATATATTTACTGCTGAATGCTTTTTTTACTTCAGATTTGAAATATGACATTAAACACGAGTCTTCTTCCGACACCTGATCTATTGTATGGTCAACTTTACTTCGATATTCAACTTGCCCATGTGTTTTCCGATACAAAAACTTTTGTGGATTCCGTTCCAGACGTTTCACCATCAGAAATAGTCGCTCTCTACGAACATGAAAAAATCTTACCAGATTTTAATCTCGTTGCATTCGTTAATAAACATTTTCATCTTCCATCATTTCCTGCTTCGACTTACACTAGTGATCCGACTATTGATCCTAAAGATCATATAAATAAACTGTGGGATTTTCTTTGTCGACCAGCCGATACGCCAACTGAAGGTAGTTCAAGAATACCTCTTCCATTTCCCTATATCGTACCCGGTGGTAGATTTCGAGAAATTTTCTATTGGGACTCATATTTTACTATGTTAGGTTTAATTCTTACGCCCGAGAAACTGCATATAGTTAGAGGAATGATTGACAATTTCGCATATATGATTGACCAATTTGGTTTTATACCAAATGGAAATCGTACCTATTTTTTAAGTCGATCTCAACCACCATTTTTCGCCGAGATAGTTCAGTTGTTAGCTGATGCAGATCATACAGAAAATATCAAACAACGATATTTACCTCAACTACTCAAAGAATATGAATGGTGGATGACGAACAATGATCAGTTGACAGAAGAACAACCTGTTCAAAATGTAAGTTCTTTTCATCGTTTATTTCTTTAGGCTCTACACTGTATAGATGGAATCAGCATTGAAACATTTAATCGATAAATTGAAAAAAAACCTTCTTACAAATGTCTTTGCATCTCAATGCCTCTTTCGCAAGAACTTTCCTCGAAAATTTATAAATGAAAGAAAAAAAAATTGTTCGACTAGTTGATTGTAATATTTTTAGCATGTTGTGCGTTTGCCCGATGGCACGATCCTCAATCGATATTGGGATCCATTGACTAAGCCTCGATCAGAATCATATCCGAAGGAAGAAGTTCATCGTCAGAAAGCTCAACAAAATGGCATCTCTGCTGAAAAATTCTATCAACATATTCGAGCTGCTTGTGAATCAGGTTGGGATTTTTCTTCACGCTGGCTCATTGATAGTAAATGCATGGAGACTAATCACGCAGCTGATATTGTTCCTGTCGATCTTAATTGTCTCCTTTATTCTCTGGAAAATTTACTTGCAAGTATATATAACCAAAAAGGTGATTGGAAATCAAGTAAAAAATTCGAGGAGTTGGCCGAAAATCGAAAGAATGCTATTCAAAACTTCCACTGGAATAATGAAATTCAATTTTTTATGGATTATGATTGGATACGAAATCGATCGACACCCGCTATTACACTAGCTGGTGTTTATCCACTCTTTTTTAAATTAGCAACTTCTGAACAAGCAGCACATGTTCATGAACACCTTAGAAAAAGTTTTCTTCAATCTGGCGGTCTAGTTACTACTCTAGAAAGAACTGGTGAACAATGGGATTGGCCGAATGGATGGGCACCCCTGCAATGGATAGCCTATCAAGGGTTAAAGAACTATGGATTCAATGAGTTGGCGGCTGAAGTAAGACTGCGGTGGTTAGCTTTAAATGATCGTGTATTTAAAGCGACAGGAAAAATGACCGAAAAATACAATGTAGTAGACAATGTCAAAGGGGGAGGTGGAAACTATCCTCTACAAGATGGATTTGGTTGGACGAATGGAGTCTATTTGAAACTGTTGTATGATGTTTAAAATAGTCAGTTGAGTATTTGTCATGATTTCTTTTTAACTGAAAATACTCAAGTTTTGTGGAACCGACTAACAATCGGACTAAACGTGATGTAAGAATATTTTTAATAAACCATCTTAATTATCTCATGATTAAAGAAAACTATGTAAGGCTGAAATTTAGTTCATAAATGATATTCAATGAGTTCTCTATTCGATGCAATATTCAGCTCATTATGTCTAGATGATAAAGCGAAGTACATTAAAAATATCGTGTTGACGCATGAATACTTCATCTTATTGATCAATGTCTTCAATCATGACACCAAGACTATACGAACAGTTTATGAGGCGTAGTTGCATCCAAATTCGAGCAAACCTTTTCGAATAATTTTAAAAGATTAATAATTAACAGTTTGTGAACAAATAAGATTTGATGATGTTGGACAATTTCCAGTATGTTTAGTACTCACATACTATTGTCTCGAAGGCTCATCTATTCTATCCGTCAGTTTTTATGCGCTACTGAGTATTTCGAGAAAACATGTATTGTCAAGTTTCGCCTTGAAGCATTGCTCATTAGGGAGCATTGCAGTCACTAGACTTTCCTAAACACATCAGTTGCAATGAATGTGCCCTTCTCAAGATACTCTTTTTGAATGAATCTATGAGCTTTAGACCACTTTTCTGAAAGAGATCTTAAATTTGTGTTTTGATGTACTAGTTTGTTTAAAGACAATGTGGAAAGCATCTGGGACACAATAGAAACGTATCTTACTTTTTAAACTTCAAAAGATTATCAAAAAATAAGATGCATGTATACATGATTTCCTACGAAAAGCTGGGTTTTATTGAATAAACAATAGAAAATGCACGCCAAATGCGCATATTCCTTGTATTCCAACAAAATCACCGTCTACGAATTAGACAGTACATTTTTTAACAAGAACCTTTGCATATTTCTAAAAAACAAGATGATCACTTGTAAACTGATGCATTCTCCAAAGAGTGGTATAGATTCTATGGATTCATTCTGTTCTGAAAATGCTCAATTTTTGATCTCTTCGAATAAAGACAATCCATCTTAGAAATCTAATAACTAATAAAGAACATACACTGGAAATTTTCAAATAAATTCTATTTTGTAGAGGGTGTGGATGTAGGTGTCTGAAGTTTTTGTGTAAATCCACATCCACATCCACACTCTGTCGAATCGATAATATTGCCTCATACACAAAAATCTACTGCAACAATTCATTGATAGAGTTCATTACAATCGAACAATGCATGAACGAGACTGCAATCATTAGCATGCAATGGTGAAATTATTTTTGGTGATTGAGTAACAAGTGACAATAAACTATGCCATTCAAGATGAGCATTGACAATTTAAAAGCTTGACGAAGCTGAATACCAACATATGTATCTATTTTTGGTCCTGAAGGAATAAATATAAAATGATCTTTAAGACACGTGTAAGACTTTTGAGTAGAAAATGAGATCGCAAATGACCAAACCTAAACATGAAAATTCCTGTAGTCGACAATCTTGAGTGATACAATCTGATTACCTAATTTTTATTCAAAAACTAAGCTTTTCAATGCAAACAAATAGAAATTTAATCATACTTCATTTGTATGCGAAATTTCACTATTCGTCAAGGTCACGCCCACATCCTAGGTCTAGAAAAATTTCTACGAACAAAAATATAGGCTACTCTTGCTCTAGTACGACAAACCATATATCATCAACTCTTGTGCGACATCTTACTCTCGTTAATCGTATTTCTCAATCAAATGTATTGATAAGAACTTTCTCTACCAATTACAATACAATTTAATACAATGATGATTCGCTTCATAAGATATCGATTGAGGTAATAGATAGCCAATATATACAAAGAGATTCTACTAAAGTTTGCTTGTATCTTCTTGATGAATCGTATCTCATATCTGGTGCACTTTACATTTTCCATGTAAAAAAACGACCATATAATGTGATTTTAATCGATTTTAATTGCTATGGTTATAAAACACGTTTTTCTCGAGTTTTAACTTAGAAAATCTGATTTTTGATTATTTTGTTTTTGACTCCTCACATCGACAAATGGTAATTGTAGTATTAACTCTGTGTTTGATACATTTCCACTCACAACATCAATTCATACTTATTCGTCTAAGCCGAAATGTCAATGAATTAGATTGAAATCGATTAAAATCAGATATTTTTGTCGTTTTTTTTACATGGGTTATAAAGCTTAGGAAAACTATGATATTTATCATTTGAATATCATTATTGCAAATGAAACTGCCTGGTCATGTGTCCAACTGTTCATCACTTCAAGCAAATACTTGCTTCATCTTTGAAATGCTTTCACCATCAATCATCTCTCGATATCTTAATGTCGGTCTAGACAATAAAACAAGTACAATACTTTTGAACGCCAAATTTAGTGAAGTAATTTAAAAATAATTGTTTTAATGAAATTTGTTCCTATACTCGAAAGGCTGAAAATATATGTCTTCAGATAGAATGCTGTAGTCTGTTGAATATTTATGTTGTACCATTCAAACAAATAATCCGATAAATTGATCTTTACAAAGCATCATCTACTTCATCAGTTAAAGTAACGAGAATATTTGTTATAGGCTCATCATGACAGTCTTTGAATGGACATGTTCCCCCACCTTTTGTCCACACCCAGCTAGCCGGATCAATTTGCATAATAACTTTTCCATTCATCTTGTTGAGATAGATGTGCCGCGTAGCTGGATTGGTAACGTTAACGTGAGCATATTTGAATCCACGTGTCTTTCTCGCGTTCTCACAGACAAGCTTCGTTAGTCGACTGCAGATTCCTTTGCCAGCTAAATCAGTTTTTGTTCCAGTGTGTGAAATGCGCAGATGAACATTGGGTCGAAGTTCTTCGCCAAGATTTCGTTGTAATGTTTCATCAAATTCGTTAATAAGATCACCAAAGGGATAATGACCACTTTTGGTTGGGTCACAGTAGAAACGATTGAGATAATAGTCACCAGCTAGAACACATCCAATGATTTCATTCGTGGTTCGATTACGAGCGAAGAATGAGAGGTGTTCATCGAGTAAGCTGAGTACACGAGGTAAGACTGAACGAGTATAATAGTCTTCAGCATTATCAGCTCTGAAGCGCGTAAATGATTCAGTGTCTGCATATGCTTTGGCCAAGACTCGAGCACAATCAGCAGCATCCTCCTGAGAAGTCAGCACGTGATACTCGTACTCATCATCGTTATTGTCATTGTACGCCATGAATAAGATGTGCAACTGATGACGAGAGAAAGATAAGAGCAGCGGAGTGTCTCGGAGCAAGAGCAGTTTTTATTTTATCTCGTTCTTCACTGTTTTTCATGTTGCTTTGCATAGATTGAGGTATGCTGCATTGTATCTGCGTCCTATGATATATAGAGCGATAGAATTTGAACTGATGCAGGTGTAATCTAGAGTAAACAGCGCAAGGACACAAAAATTTATAAAACATTATCAAGCTTCTTTCATGCTCGCTTGGTCGTGACCATTGAGCTCCGATGGAGAAAATGTTTCCTAAATTCTTTAATAGTATTAAAAAAAAAGAACTTTCAGTGTAACTTCTACGACATTAAAATATGAAACAAAATACGTCAGATTACTTCAAAAAGACTTCACAACGTTGTAATTTACCCAATAGAATAAGAACAGCCGACGAACACATTCAGGCTGCAAAAATGCTCAAGTTCTATGCCTCAAAGTGTCAAGATCAACACTCTGTTACATACACGTACGAGAGAATCTGTTTTCAGATGTAGGATGTGAATGTGAGTGAGAAGAAGACTATAACTCATACTGAACCATACTCACGCACATCCTTTTTTATTTTATTGTAGTTTGCTTTATTTTATTGTAAATTGCAGAGTCCTGATGAGTATCTATCATCGTAAAGATACCGAAATACGTCGACAATTAAATTCTGTATTTAATTCATCTACCAAAACATTCTATTCAGTTTTCGATTTTCAAATATTATCGTCGACATACTGTCTATTTGTGAAAAGTAAAAGTTAATAGCAACGATTTGAACTTCTTTTCCAAAGCAGGTACAATTGATTCTCTTCACTCATATGCTCCAACGTCACTATTATCACGCCGTGCTAGAACTCAACATTAATTGGAAGAAAATGACCTATGTTTTGAAAGGTTTTGGATATTCATTTAGGCGACTATTCAAAATTTTAAAAAAACAACAGAATGATTGTGTTATACTTTGATTTTTAGATCAAATAAATATATCAAACGATCTGATGAAGTTCTTAAACAAGGCCAAGATACGTCATCGTTATTAGTTGTTCTTCGAATTTCGAAAAAATTTTTCGCAAATCTCGATTTATTTCAATGAAGATTTTCCATTCGTCGTTTTTCTGTTACTTGGCAATGTTTGTAGTGCAGTTTATTGAACGGATTTTGCTGTGTTACTATGGAGCTTGTTGAAAAATTCTTATGTGCCAATCTAGATTGGTTTCCTTTGTTCGCAAATATCTGTTTCCAAACCTATTGACCATACAGCCACCTCGTCCATACTTTCAAATAAGAACCACTCAGTCTTTTCCATAGGTGTGTCCCAAGCAGTTTTGAACATCGCGAGCGATTTTAACCATATCTGATGATCCATGTGTGTCGATTGCAGTCCCAATCGTGCTTAATATATTCAATCTCATCGGATCCGTAATTCCATACTCTTGTTCTTCAATTTCCCATCGTCCCATTCTAATTAGTTTGGTGAATAATTATCATTGGTCGTGTCATTTGTTTTATGCAGGAATAAAATAAATTGCCTTTGGTACGTTGATAGAAATGAACCAATTTATCTCTTGAGTGGCGAACAAATTATATCCAAGCTAACAGGATTAATTGAGAAACTGGACATTTTTAGGAAAAAAAATTGAAAAAAATGAAGACTTTGAAAATTGTGTGTAATGCTTGTTTCAAATCATGATGATGTTGAAAGAGAGATAAGTATTTTTTACAGTGTAATGTGAATCTTTCGATATAAAAAATAAAGCGTGAGCGATAAGATGACGCTCAAGATGTTAACAAAATACTGCGACCCTCTTTTATTACGAGCTGCCTGTTAGTTTTAAATTTTAGTTTCAGTATATAATCACTCACATTGTATGGCATCACAAAGCACAATTAATTAACAAATAGACACAATCATTGAACACGTTTTCTTTTTAAAGAGTATTCTTCATCTGATTTAAGAGCTTTTGATAAATCTTTTTTACCTTATAAATATTTATCCATTATAGTATGTGATAAGGAGAAATGCAAAATAATTGTTGATTAAATCATAGCATATAAAATTTTTTTGTTTCTTATTGTTCATAGGATTATCAATATTAGCTTTTTATTAGCAATGTTCGGAAAACTGTTGATGACGAACGATAAATGCTATTTGAGATGGATCAAATTTATATTCTTTTAAAGATCATTAATATTCGACGACTTTGAACTATTTTTCTATTGGAGATAACTCTATTCAATTTCTGTTTTCTGGTTTAACTCCTGATGACATAATTATTACCTCAGCAACTACCACTGCTTTATGAATACCTTCTTTGTCAGTCGAGCTGTCATTATCATCTAGAGGTGTTTTTTCTGTTCCTTTCCTCTCACTAATCATATTAAATATTCATGTTCATTGAGGAAACAAACGAAAAAATGTGTATGTTGATGTATATAAATTACATGAATAGTTAAAATACAATAGAAAACCATAGGTAAACAATTGATTTAAAGCCAAATATATAGGTTGGTAGTTGTTTGTAGTTAGTAGAAAATAAAAATTATCTGTATCAAATAGAAAGAATTAGAATGGCACAAAAATATCAGTAATTTTTGATACAGTGTTTTTAATAGTTATGGAAATGAAGGTATTTCAGGTGAAAAATGTTGATTGAAATAATAAATAACGCCGTATCAAAAAAAGCAGAATTTTTCTGCTCAAAGCAGAAGAGGTGGCAGCTCTGATTAGAACAATTGATCTAGCATACAAGAGAATAAACAGAACAGTATATCATTAAAAAATTTTATTTTGCGGATTTATGATTTCCAATATGGAAACAAATGTTTGGTTGAGTATCACACAGAAAATCTATGTTCTCTCTCAAATAATATCGTGCGATAAAGAACTCATCAAGCTTTGATTTTCATATGAAATATATAATTTCTGACAATTTCTCTATTCGATTAGAATTTATTTTTTCGACTGTAATTGAGAGTGATAAAAAATACAGACATTAGATAATATCATTAAAGAGTTCGTTTCAACCATTATATTGTTCATTGTACGAGGATCATCTCCTTGCAAGCACATGATGGTATTCGAGTAAGTGACTGGATTACAGCTAGGTAATCGATCATATCAATATTCTCAGTCAATGGAATCAACTGAGCTAATTATCGGCCGTTATCGACTCGTGTCTAGAGAAAAGATTTTAGAAATATATATCGCTCAGATCTATCGTCATTGTCTGTATTATTCGCATTACATGAATAGTCGACAATCATTGTTCGAAGAAAGTCTGTATCATAACCATTGATCTGTAAGCATACGAGCACAATAGAGTTGTTATTTTACAAATCTAGGATAGAAAGTTTCTTTCTGGTTTATTTCACATAATCGAAAAAAAAAACGAGTCGTATATTCCATTTTATGCTGGAAAATTCAGAATTCTTTTTTGAATGTGTATCGTTAAATTCCAAAACCAATCGTCAAAAATTTGCGATACGTGATTTTTAATGCTGGTTGAAGTATGAAGGAAGCAAATTGGACCAACTCTATCCAGGCCTACTTGACACACCAAGAGAAAAATATTAACATGTTATTTTGCATATTTGGAACAGGATAGTTTTCAATGTAACTCATTATTTAAATATGAATTAATTTTAGATTTAAAAAAAATATCACGCAAATCTAGAACTATACAAATATCTGATTTTTGTTTCTTTCCGATATGTTCTTAATAGTCTCACCAGAGACTGTCGGATGCTTTGACATTGTCCTCATTTGACCTTGTTACGGGCTTGAATTGATATTACGAAGATTCACATGTGAAGCAAAACGAGTTCTATTGTGTTTCTCATTTTGCTTCCGTAGGAGCTGCGTTAATAACGCTTCTTGGAGGTGATACTTAGTGCTTTCATAATCGTATTTCAAACATTTACGAAATCTCTGTGAAATTTGTAGCCAGTTGAAATTCCGTTTGACAGTACAAATGGTTGTATCCCTTGTCAATACGAAAACTGATTAATCGAATATATAGCTTTTTAAAAAACTTGAATACAGACCAACAGGATGTGGCGGTGGACAATCACCGCCATTACGCCGTGTAGGATATGCTATGTGGCGACGATGACCGTATAAGTTCAATATTTTATTATCTAATACATGAGAAAGAAGACTTTCAGTCGCGAAACGTTCTTATAAAAGTATTTATCCGTTGAAAATCCATCAGTTTCGGACAGGAGGCGTATCGAAATCGCTCAAACTGTTCAAGTGATAATCGTAAAACAAAAGTAATCAGACAGTTCGCCTTTTTACTGAAAAAAAAACGCTTCAGACAAAATAGGAATGATGATGTTCATGAATAATCGATATTATGTTTTGAGAAAAAGACAAGATCGTTTTTCATGTTTCATATTCACAAACAATATAAATTTTCGAAGAGTCAGTTTTCACACAGCTACTACCTATCACGAGGTTACGATTGATGAAAAGTTAAAACTAATAAACTCTGACCAATGAGTTTGTCATTGTAATATCGAGTGTCGTCTTTCTTGTTGAAATAAGGTTAATCACTAATCTGAATTGTTTGATTTATGAAGAAAACAGTTGTATAATTAATTTGTTCGTAAGAAAAAAAATGAATGTCGACTAATAATCGTTACAAATTCAAATTCTAAATCAATTACATTCAATATACAATGAAGTTGATTAGACTGTTTTTCATCATCAGTTTTAATCCAAAAGAAAAAATGAAGAACAATTTTCAGTATTATATATGTTTATATATACAATCAAGAAAAAAAGCCACAAATAATAATTTCAATGCTTTTTCTTTTTACGTTCTCGAATAATAAACAATTGACAACATGAAAAAAAAGAAAAACGGAATAATTATGATGTTCATTCATTGATCGACGACAATGTACCTAAAAAACAATCAGAGAATAAAATTAAACAAAAAAAAAAAGATCTTTAAATAATATAGACGTTTTGTTCTTCTTTTTATCAGTGCGTTTTTTTTTATTTCTTTAAACTCTACCGAAGTATACTAATAGAATACCAACAAGAACTAAATTTGAGTTTGGATACCTAATCAAATTGTCGTAATGAATACCAATATGGACTGTATGACGTATATATGTATTTATATAGGTATCATTCAAGTAGTATAAATAAACGAAATTATTTTTTTGTTTTCGAACTTTCGAAAAGGTATTTAGGTATAAATTTTAGTATATAAATTAGAATAGTAGTTCATTTGATATAATCATTTGCTCAGTGATACTGAAAGATACAGAAGAACAAAAGAAACAAACTAATAAACTTATTTATATTATTATTTTCTTACTGAAATTTATTTTTGTTTTTCTTTTCTAACGTCTTGATGATAAATCACGTTTAGTATTCGAATTTAAATGTCTTGCTGATGTTTTTTGTTGTAATTCAGTTGTTATATGTGCTAAATCACGACGTACATAATCAAATTCAAGTTTTAATTGATCATAACGTCGACGTTCATCATCTAATTCTCGTCTTAATTTCCATATATCTTCATCAAAATGACGTTTTGATACAATAAGATGTTCATGTAAACGACGATTTTCTTCTTCTAATTGTCTTATTGTAAATTCTTCTGTATTACGAATTGGACGTTTTATTTGTATAGGTTGTGGTGAAGGTGATTCACGTCTTGAACGTTTATTATTATTAGTAGTAGTAGTATTATTTATTGGAAGTGAACGTATCGGTGAACGAGATGAACGTGAACTTGGTGATCTTGATAATGATGTTCGACGATTACGTGTTAAATCTTCAGCTTTTTGTACTTCTAATTCTAAACCATCAATAAAATGTGGTTTATCTTGTATAATTCTATCAACAGCATCTTCATCATCAAATGCCACAAATGCATAACCAAAATGTGTAAATGTATTATTACGTTTACCTTTTGGTATTGTACATGTTAAAATTTTACCATATTTATCAAAATAATTTGATAAACGATTATCAGTTAATTGTTGAACTGTACCACGAATAAAAATACGTTTAACTGGTTTTTGTAATTCATTTGATGGTAAACATCGTTGACATTGTAATTCATTTCCATCAATTGTATGTGGTCGTTTATCCATAAATACATCAACACTTATACGATCATTAAATTCAATAAAACCTTCACCATCAGTTTCAGTTAAATAACAATCAAGAACTGAACCATAACGTGATGCATATTGTTGTAATTGTTTTGCTGTTGTACGTTTAGGTAAATTACGTACAAAAATTTGACATTTAAATGATGTAGATGAAGACATCTAAAAAGCAAAAGAAAAAATAATACATTTTTCTATATATATATATATAAACAAAGTAAATATAGATAATCTATTCACTCAAAAAAAAAAAAGAAAAGAAAAATAAACAATATGCATATGTTCTCTCTCTGTGTATAATATATATATATATATACATAGATTTTAAAAAAATAAACTAAATAATATCACAAGAAAAAGCATAAGCAAAAGACACAACCAGGATTGAATGTTTCATTGGCATTGAATGATTATTGAGCTTAAAGTCTGAAATAAATAAAAGAAAATTTATTATTAAGATCAACGCAATTCATATTAATTATACAGTATAAACACCGTTAGGACCGACGAAATTTATTCAATGTGACAGACTGTTCGTAAAGGAGAAGGTGGGGTCAATGTTGCTCTACATAAAGAGCGTTGGGAGATATCATTATATGATAGACAAAAGTTGATAAGCTATTCAAAAAGACAATGACATCTGTTTTTGCTTCCATTGAATTAAATCATAGAGCCAATTATTTTCTTGATAATCAACTTCACAGCTCCAATTATATAATTTATTCAAGTGGCGCCTTCTATTGATGTTCTTATTTTCAAAATTCAAGGATGTTCACTGAGAGAGGTTTCACTATAGAGATGTCTTTGCCTTGGAAATCAAGTAAACTTCAACAACTTTTTCATGATATTTGACGAGCGAATTTCTTCAGACAATCAAAAGTTTTTAAGATAAGATTGCCGTTTGAAGTTATATTAAACTCATACAGAAGTTCCAGTAAGACTACAAAATGCTTGAAAGATTTCGTGCTCGTGAATCTCTGGAGCCTGTTTTATCGAATTTTCGACCTATGATTTTGTTTATAGATAGGTTTAATGACTCTTAGATTATCCAGAATGTTCCTTTGTCGAGATATTGAATTTTTAAGTAAATTCAATTTTTTGAGACAAGCGACTAGTTGTTGGAAATTCAATATCTCGAATTAGATCTATTTATGAGATCAAAACTTGACTCTAGAGACACATGGGCGCGTCAATTTTTAGAATTTTTCTAGTCTTACCAAGAACTCTTTGTGAATCCAGTACGAGTTCAAACGACGAATTACAGCTGCAGTAGTTCTTTCGTGAGTGTAATAGGTAATATACCTATAATGAATCGTCTACTTGTTGCTTTCTTCCTAAGTTATGACAATTTTACTGTGCTTTTCAAATAAGGAAGTTTCTTGGACTTTATCATATACTGGAAGTTTCAGTTAGAAAAATGTTTTCTTGAGAGAAATGAATTGTTATATATAGATGATGCCTACCTCTGGTAGACATTACTGAATGTCAAAAGCTTTTTATCATCTTGAAAAGTTCTTTCATTCGACATACTCCATAGATGGATCTAAATACTAACAATTAATTTGAATTTGTTATTATTGATGCGATGAATAGCTAATAGGCAAATAACATATGTTGTACATTTACAGTTACATGAAACGCTTCCTCTAGAGCAAAATAAACAAAAACATCTGTCCGCTCGACGTAAAAAAGCATATGGATCTTGGGTAGAAATTCAGTGATCATTCAATTCATGAATATTTCACGAATACTATCATAAATGATTAAGCTTCTATACTAATAGCAGGTTTTGATCTAAAAGCTGTTAGCACAATCCCTGCAGGATTAAAATGTAAAATACGATGCAATTGCTATTGCTAATCACAGGAAGATTGTTGCATTCTATCAAGTCTACATTCCTAGCCTAGTCCATTCGAGAGTTATAAGACTTTTTCTGAGACCCCTAATTTCAGCTAATTGGCCTATGATCATCCGAAAGAGTAGCTAGGCAAACGTAATCCATCATGCTGAGTTGAATAGTAATATATGCTTTTTAGATTGGTATTGAGAAAATAGTGCCACATTAATTCGAATCTAAAAATACATAATGAATCGTCCTGCCTAACTGTTTTTGCAGATGATCACAGATCAATTGCCTGAAATCAAGGATGTCAGCAAAAAGCCTTATAACTCTTGAACAGAACAAGTTAGGAATGGTGGCGTTGCATAGATCAAAAGAGAATATCATTTTCTAAAATCTCTATTAAGAACTCACCTGATTAATCAATCAATTCTCGATGAACCCGAGTCTTCTCCCTTGAATGGTAAAAATTGTCGGTCTCTATGATATTCCAATGGAAATTTATTTAAAAAACATTGACATGCCTTATCTTTTGGCGTCGATAATAGTTTATATATTACAATGAGATCTTATTGATATATGATATTTGACTAGCATCTGTTAACAGACTGGAGAGGAAAGGGGAATGCAAATTTCTATCCTATATACTTCAACATTCCTTTTAGATCATATTTCATAATAATATATCAATCAATGCATAGCTTACTTTTTTTTGACATTATCTATAGTTGATTTAGGTTTATTAACAATTGAATTTGTACTAGCTGTTGATTTTGTTATACTAATCGAATCTTTTTCTACATTTCGTTGAGTAGCACTAATAAAAAAAATCATTTGTTTTTTTTTTTATTTTTGTTTACTATTAAATTTATTACAAATGAGAAAATTTCTTACCAATTATCTTTTAATTTAATATAAGCTTTATAAAGTTCTTCATATTTTCTTTTTGTTTGATTATGTATTTCTTCACGTTTTTTTAAATGTATTTGTTGTTGTTCATTATCATGTACACTTTGACGAAGAAGATCACTAGTAGCAAAAAAAATAAAATAAAATTATTAAGTCTTTTTTTTTTTTGATTTATACTCAATATCTTTATTTTCTTTTTTTAATTGTTCTGTTTGTTTATCTTTAGTTGTTATTTCATCTAAACTTTGTTTAAGTAAATATTGATAATGTCCAATTTGTTGATTAAATTGATTTTGTTGTCTTGCTATATATTCATTCCATTGAAGTTTTTCATAATCATATAATTTAATACGTTCTTGAAATTGATTTTCAATATGTATTCGTTCATTTATTAATCGATCTTTTTCATGTTCTAATTGTGATATTAAAAACGATGATGATGATTCACTCGGATTAGATAATTTCATACGTTTATTTGATTCGAATTCATCAATTGATGTATAAGGTTCAACAATTAATGAACGTCCATTAAGAAAATGTCTTGATTCTTTTAATGCACGTTCATAACTTATATGATCATCGAATGTTATTGTAGCAAAACCTTGTAATGGATTTGATAAACACATTCGTACATGACCATAATGTGAAAAATATCGTATAAGATTTTTTTCTTCTAATTGTTCACATGTACCACGTATTGTTAAACGACAATTATTACTATTTGAATTTGTTGTTAAACGTTGATTATGTGATGAATTTCGATTGATTGTTGTTTTCCATGTTGCATTAACAAAACCATATGAATCAATACGATGTGGTGAAGCACGTATAAATTCTTCAGCATTATGTTTATCTGCAAATGTTACTATACATTGATTGGATTTTATATAACAATTAAGTATTCGACCATAAGTTTGACAAAAATTTTCAACAGTATCACTATTTGTACGACTATCGAGATCGGTAATTACGACAGTCGACATATTTTTTATCTAAAATTTTATGAATACGTTAAATAATTGAAATTCTAGTAAAAAAAAAACAGGAATTTTTTTGTTTATTTCCGTGAGAGTGTGACATTACTGATGGAAGAAATAATAGTTTTGAGAATCTTTGAGACTATATTATACATACATATATATGTATATATACGATTGACAGAACCAGAATGTCCTAGAAGAAAGAAAATTTGCATGAAGATAGCAAGGACACTACGATAACAATCGATACTAGATGTTAATACTTATCGAAGGTCTAAGAAAATAGTATAGAGCTAATGGATTCATGATCTGAAAGGTGATTGATGTTATTGAAGTTTCTCAAGAGACTAGTGGCGTAACCCTTCGGATTATGTCACTATAAGATACATGGTAAAGTCAGTGGCTACTTAATAAAATCAATTATAGTTTGACAAAAAAAAAAATGTTTTATTCCATATAGGTAATTCAATCGTAATTTTCATGTGATTAAGGCATAACGAATACTAATGTTCATATTTCTTTCATCATTATTCTTTATAGAATATTCTCTAAATGAATTTAAAAGATACCTTGACCTCTTGTCATATATAAGTCTGTTTCTGTGATAATATACTGAAATAGAAAAATTATTGAACTTGTTAAAATTTACTTTTCTAAGAAAACAAAAGAAATTGAAATGTAAAAAAAAGTTTTATTAAAAAAAAAAATATAGAACACAGAATAAAATCTGACGATAACTTCATACAAAAAAAAAGTTTTTTTTCTATTTATATGACTTCATGAAACAGAAAAAAGTATTCCATAAAATTCAATTTCTTTATTTGTTAAACATTTAGCTATATTAGAAGGTTTACTTGACAATTCAATTTTATCGATTTAAGTTGTAGTTATTTTTTTTAAATGTTCATTTTCTTCATGTATATAGAAATTTTCCGATAATATCGACCGTTTTTATATTGATTGATTGTTTTCGATAATGTTTAAAGTAAAGCAACGTATTCATTTCTCGAAAATTAGCATCAAGTATGAACTCTTCTTCCCGTAGCATCATGTTTGTATAATTCTGTTCGGTTCTGCATGTCTCAAGCTACTCATTTGTCAATGTTCTACGCATACCAAGATGATTCAATTCTGTAAACCATCGCTCATGACGCATGTTATCTGTATGTTGGTATTCGTTTGTGCTTTGGTTTAATTACTTTCTTCATTTACTTGTAATCAGCACTATGCTTCTCTAGGCTCTATCATGGGTAGAGGGTTAAATAAACCACAAACAATTAACGGATAATGAATTTGATAATTGATACCATACTTCTTCATAGTTAATATAACGCATTCTGTTTTATGTATATTTTCGAAGTATTTCCTTTATGTAAATAAAGTTTTTTTGTTTTTTACTTATACAAATTAGCAAACTGTTTAAGAACTAAAAGCAGAAATATCCATTGCGACGATAGATGGTTATTTTGAAGGATATTGCAAAACTGCACGAATTCAAACGGAAATTTCAGTGTTCAGAAATGTAACATTCTGAGACTCGATGAATCTCATGGATTAATAACAACTTAGGTCAAGAAATATGGATCGCTTCTTGCTGGAGCCATTGATCTCGAAACGGTTCAGTATGGTCACATTAGTGAACTTCGAAATATTATTTTGAATACTATCGTGACAGCAATAGGTTTTCAGCTGCAATAGAAATTTCGATATTTAACATGATCTTACTTTTCATAATTTTGTTGTAGAATTTTATCATTAGAAGTAATTTATCCAATATGATCAATTGTTTAAAAAAATGTAATTATATTTGTTCATTATCAGATATTTATATAAATAAATCAATGATATTTTTGATCTTGACATTATTGAATCCATTCTAAATAAATAAAATATAATGAATTAATTATATGATATAAAACTATATTAAAAAAAAAACATATTCTTACTATATGTTTACTTAGTCTTCTTTTTATCCTGTCTGTTCTTATATAAACTAAACACACTTACCTAGAAGTATACATTTTCTGTTTTTTTTTTATATACCAAATTGCTTACTCTGTGTATATATAACAATAACCCATTAATAGATGTTTGATATATATTGTATACTGCTGATTCGCCTGTGCGCTTTGATATAGTTCTATGTAGATGCTAGACTATCTAATAGCCCCAACCACGTATTTAACACGAGGAGGCAATGATGAAATTTTTTGGCTAATAGAAAAAAAAAATATAGATATATACATAACGGATTAGAAATAAAGATATTTGAAAAATACCTTATATATATATATCGGAACTAAAGTTCCAATAAGAATTAATGATTACATACTGATGTTTTTTTTTCCGATACCAATAGTTCCTGTATTCATACTCAATAAAATAGTCCCGAATATAACTTTGAAAAATGAGATGTATATTTTCTTGTATAAATTGTTCATGCCACTCTATTCGATAGAAACCATCGAATCCAATATTCTAAGACTCGAACTTCCAATTAGATCAATAATATTTGACTTAGATTTATAAAACAAAAGAATTCTATTGGTATATTGAATATATTTCGAAAGTCTATCAAACTTCCTATATTTGAACTTATCTTTCTCTAATTGTTTGTTAGAATTCTAAACAATAGACTTTACTATACATGCTAAATTTATCTTTACTGATCAACTATTATATCTTATTATTCTATACTTACATCTTAAATAAGATTATATTATTGAATTGTTACATATATTTAAGCAAAACCGGTAAAAAAAAAATCAGCGATATGGTGACTTACACAACTAATGTGCAACATAACAAACAAAAAGGAAAAGAAATAATAATAGAAAAAAAAAAGAAATCATAACTAAAACAAGATTTTATTCCATTCTTGAATTGGATATTATCTTAGTTCTAATTATGTGTATCGTCTGATTATGTAAAATAACAAATTATTTAACTGATTACTCTCTCTCTTCATTATGTTTAATTTAGGAACAAAAAATGTCTTGTTTTTCATGTTGTTTTCATCATCATTTAAATTAATGATGATGAAAGAAAACAAAAGAATGAGTATTCGAAGACTACAACATAAAAAAGATGGAAAAAAGTGCTTTTACTCTTTGTTAAACACACACACACACACACACACAATCACACATACAGTCTCAATATTGATGTCGTTTATTTGTAGTTTAGTTTTTTTTTTTCGAGTTCTCTTTAAACACATACCACACTTGCATTTTTTTTCTTATTTTATTGGCCACGACCTCGACCACGGCCACTATAATTTGATACATTACCACCACCCCGAGCATTACCACGTTTTGGGTATGGTGCTGAACGGTTACCATAATTTGATGAACTATTAGTTCCAAAAGAACCACCTCCTCGACTATATATTAAAAAAAGAAAATATACAAATAGTTATTCTATGATTAACAAAAAAAAACGATTAGTCTATAGTCTGATTTTAAAACATTGACTCTTATAAATTCGACTGATCGAAATAGAAATCTCTATTCTATGTCATTCTCACGCACTTTTTGTTTTTGAAAAAATTTAATATAACACTTACCCTCGTTTACCACGCATAGAACCTCTTCCACGTGATTGTTGTGGCATATCATTGTAATTCATTCTATTATCATTATAATTTTGTGAATTAATATCATATGAATTTGAATTATCAAATGGATTTTGCATAGATGAGCCACTATTGGTTTGTTGTTGTTGTGGTAGTGGTAAATGAAATGGATTATTCATGGCATTGAAACCACTTGGATTTGTATCATAACCTTGTTGTTGATTTGATCCATAAGATGGTGGCATAAAATTTGAATTTGATGTTTGATTTGAATTATTATTAAAAGGTATATTTGAATTAGTATTATACGAATTATAATTCATCAATGATTGTTGTGGTTGATTTTGTCCCATTGAATTATATGATGAAGGAAAAGCATTTGTATTCGATGGCATTGATGGATTGAAACCAGATCCATTTGAATTATATTCTTGTCGATCATATGATGAAGATTGTGATTGATTATAATTTTGATTATTCCAACCTCTATTATTATCTGGCATTGATTCAAAAGTATTTCTTTGATTAGAACCAGAATAATTTCTAGGAAATGATGTTCCAGATGAATTTCCTGTTGTTTCTTGTATTTTTTCTTTTGGTACAGCTTTTTTAACATCTAAAGTTCGACCATTAACTAAATGTGGTTTTTCAAGAATAATTTTATCAACAGCATCATAATCATCAAATGAAACAAAAGCAAAACCACGAGGTTTACCTAAACAATTATTTGTTTTCTTTTTTTGTTGTTTTTGTGTCTCTTAAACTTACCATCACGATCATTCATAATAAGAATTTCAGTAATATTTCCAAAACGAGAAAAATATTGTCGTAGACATGCTTCATCAATACCATCACGTAAACCAGCAACAAATAATTTTTTTACTGTTAAATGTGATTCAGTACTATTTTGCTCTTCACGTGGCACTAGAAATAATAATAATTAAGAAATTGATCAAAATTTTAGTT